AAATTTCATGCTGCTATGAAATCACAGTATACATTGTACTCTGAGGATTCCTGGAGGCAGGATCAATCATTCATTTTGGTCTGAGGTACAGGTAAGAGCTAGTAGCTGGCTGCTTTGCTTTTCTGATCTTCAGGCAATCTTTATTAAATCATAAATAATATATCACCACAAACTCTGACACTGGATAGGAGAGGAAGTAGCCCCCCCACTCTGTGTACACCATATCAGTACACGACTAACTGTCATGGAAGCATAAGGAAACACCTCAAGAGACTTCAGGTACAGGTGACTAGAGCAACTTCCACCTGTAAAGCTTAAAGAAATCACCCCGAGGGGCTGGAGGGATGGCTCAGGAGTTAAGAGCACTGGCTGCTTCTACAGAGGGTCCAGGTTCAGTTTCCAGCACCCACATGGTGGACCATAACCATCCTTAACTCCAGGTCCCGGGAATCCGACATCACTTTCTGATCACCATGGGCTCCAAGCACACATGTGGTGCACATACATACACGCAGGCAAACATTCACACACATACATACACGCAGGCAAACACTCACACACATACATACACGCAGGCAAACATTCGCACACATATACACACACGCAGGCAGACATTCACACACATACATACACACAGGCAAACACACACATAAGATACCTAAAAAGGTTTTGTTTCAAAGAAAGAAATTATCTCAAAGGGTAAGACTGTATAAACTTACAGGTAACTCAAACATTTTAGTGTAAATGTGGCTAATCTGAATAATGTGGCAACCAACAAAAAGACACAGCAATTAATCAAATTCACTGTTGTTCCACTGCAGAGACAAAGGCTGACATTAGTTTCACTGACTTTGAGGCCAAGACGCTCCTCCAGAGATTTGAGGGGAGACCATTTTCTGCCTCTCCCAGCTTGCAGAGCTTTTGTACCCCTTCTTCATGGCCCCTTCCACTATCTTCAGAGCTAGAGGATACCATCTTGTCTGAGACATCACACTGTCTAATTCTGTCAAATCTCCCTCTGTCTCTCACCTGCAACCTCTCTTTTCCTTTGGTGGTGCTAAACACGAAATTTAAGGCCTACTGCCTGCTTGAAGAGTGCTTGGCCACAGAGCTACACACACAGCCCCTGTGTCTCTTTAAGGTAAATACCTCTAACTACATTTAGGGTCTACCTGCATAATCCCAGATACCCTTCCTGTCCCAACTGACTCAACTTGACAAGCCGTTAAAGTCCCTCTTGTCCCTACAGGCCAATATTTTAGAGATGTGTCTATCTTGCCAAGTTTCAGAGAGGTAAATACACAATTTTGTTCTCACTTTTCACAATGAAAGTTCAGCTAGGATTTCCAACAAACCAGTAAGTGGTGACCCAGGGATGTGTATGTGAAGTTCTTTTGTTTGGTTGGTTTTTGTTGTTGTTGATTTTGGTTTTTTGAGACAGGTTTTTCTGTGTAGCTCTGGCTGTCCTGGTACTTGCTCTGTAGACCAGGTTGGCCTGGAACTCAGAGATCCTCCTGCCTCTGCCTCCTGAGTGCTGGGATTAAAGGAGTGCACCACCACCGCCTGCCAGTGTATGTGGAGTTTTGAGTGGCACCATGCCATTTAATAAGCAGTCATATTTCTAAGCTCTCTGAAGGACTCACTGGTTTCATTGCCCCAGAATTTATGTCAGGAAGACAAGTGGCCTTCCTTGCCACCCTGCTCTCCCATTCCCTGCATACAACAAACGGGTGACATGTAGGCTCCCATCATAGGGATTTCCCCTTCACTGCTGCTCTTTCCTTTTTGGGGTCTGGTCATTGCACATGAGCAAGTAACTGGCACTGGCTAGATGCTCTTAATTCCCCATGGTAAGAATGAAAGCTGAATTCCTAAATTGAAGGCAATCTGACTCTTTGATTCTGCGATTATATTCTAAGCATAACACATTTATTAATAAGGTTTGATTGACCCTTCCTTCCAAAATGGTCTGGCTGGTCATTATTCTAGCTGATTGCTTCTCTAAGGAAAATAAAAGCAACGACTCTGTAGCTCCATAAATCATATGGAGATATTTACAGCAAAAGTATCCTCTGCCTGTGGCCCTGACGCCTGTGACACACATGAGTCACGGTAAAGATCCAGGTGGGCTTCAGGCCTGATCCACCTAGAGATACCACCAGCCTTGCTTCAGCAGCAAAAAGGAGGCTGACTGTAAACCTGTCCGGGATGGGTTTGGTTTTGTTTTTATTCTGAGAGTGTCGACTCTTGTGAGAGAAAATGGCTGAGTCTGCCCTATCTCTGAGGAGAAAACACACATCAGAAAACCACCCATGTAAGTAACTGTTGGCTCCCTGGGAGGCCACCACAGAGAAAACCAGCTTATGCTGGCAGCTCATGGAAAAGTACCCCCAAGTTTATCTAGATCTGGATGTGGGATGGAGATGGGGGTTACAAAGGGGGAGTAAGCTATGTGATACAGAGAGAAAGAACTCGGTCAGCGACCCTAAGTGCCATGTGACAAATATAACCAGGAAGGTTCTGCACATATATCACATGAGCACATGGGAGGCAGTGTGAAAGTGCAGTACTAACTACATCCTCTTAGTACAGTCGTCACGGGCACAGCAGCATGCCGAAATCAGTCTGCTCTCCAGGCCTGACATTCAGATTTCCTTGTGAAGTCCTGTGGTAGACAGCGAACGGCTCGTCAAGGCTGCAGGGGACACTGAACCTTCCAATAGGCTGACCACAAGGGGAGTTTCTCCAGCTGTCTGGGTGCTAGCAATATAAACATGAGGGTCTCCAAAGGTGGAGGGGAATATTAGTAGCATTAGTAGTAGGGTGATACAGTATCAGCAGGACGTCTATTGTTGTTGGCTTTGAACACAGAAGGGATATAAGCCAAGGAATGTGGGTGGCCACTAGAAGCTGGAAAAGGCAAAGAAACCAATCCCTCCCTAGAGTCTTCAGAAAAGAATGCTGATTTCTTGTTGATACATTGGTTTTCACCCAGCAAGACTCAAGTCAGACTTGTATGCTACCGAAAGTAAGACACTAAGTCTGTGTTGTTTTAAGCCGCTACTTCTGTGATCATATCATAACAGGAATCGAGTTTACCAAGACACAACCTATACCTCGAGTTGGTGCTAAAGCACCCAAGTAAGTCTGATAGCCACTTAAGAGGAAGGCATGCTGGTACACTTGCTTGTGCTGGGAAACACATGACCATTTTACCTGAGAAGCTAGTGAGTCCCACATAAAACCATACATCCTTCATTCTTAGTCACATCCCCATGGATGCTTTGGCCTGCACACACCACAGGATGACACGCATGTTTGTCAGTTTAGGTCAGGACATTCCCCCCACGCCCCCCCAGGCAAATTTCCTTGAGATAAAAAGTAAACAAATACCAAATAGCCAAGGTTGTCTTTTTAAAAATAAAGCTTATTATCTTACTACTAATGCTGTCTCCCACTGAAGGAACTGACCATATGCCTGGATCAAATGCAGGTCCATAACTGGCCTATTCATAGCACCAGCAGAAGGAACAAACTGTCCCCCCAGTGCTAAGCTGTCACAAGCCACATTAGGACTGTAGAGACAGAGGGCTCTCCATTTGCTTACGAATCTATTTGTGTGAGACAGATGCTCAACAGCTGGATTTGTTTACTTATGATAGAGAAATGGACTGAAACCATGGGAACGATGACCACATTCCTTCTCGGGATCAAGGAGGGAAGGGCCTGTTGTACGGTTTTGGCAAGTCAAGTGCAGCATCCCTGCAGAGAGCGACTCTGTCCACTACCAGGACATCCATACCTACCCACACATGATGCTTTAACAGCATGTTTGCCTCCTTACCTTGGCTAGGAAGCTGGTACAGTAGAAAAGCAGCCATATCAGAAAACAGTTTCAGTCCTGCCTTTTATAGAAGCTGTGGCATTCAGAGGACTCTGCAACTCTGAGCTCCATTTCTACCAATGAGAGACATCGTTATCTTCCTTTCCTCATGTAGCGCACATGGCATGACGTGGACAAGAGTGCTCATCACGTAATGAGAGCTGCTGTAAGTGCCGGTGCATCGCATCCCTGCGGAAGCTTCTCCCCCTTCCCGTCTTGTCTTCTCACTAAGTCGTGACTGCACCAACTGCAGACTGAATGTTTCCATTTGGACCTCTTTCTGCATCTCTGGTCGGATGTTAACTAATTTGGACTCAGTCTTGACTCATAGACCTTTGGATTTTGCTGTGTCCCCAACAGTGAGAGCACTGATTATTTCCTGCATCCATCCCACTTTCCGTTCCCATGGTTACTCTTGTTCAGGTTCTTACCCCCTGCATAACTCACATGTAAGAGCCTCCCAAGTCCCAAGGTTACAGACCACAGTAGCAAGTTCCTGTTTCTCAAACCACGTTGCCGCATCAAGCCCTAAACAGACATCTTCAAACCTTCTTGTCTGTGGCCCAGTCATTGACAATGGAAGACGAACAAACCCCACTGGGCACAGAGACGACATGAGGCCCACACAGCTTTATTGTGATTTGTATCAAGGTAACAAACACTAAGCAACTCCACATCCTCCACAGAGAAGAAAAGCTCTTGGAATAAATAGATCCTAAAGGATTTCTCAAAATAGTAGGGTCAGGTCCGGTCAGCACACGACTGCAATTCCAGCACTTGGGATGCAGATGCAGCAGAGAGCAATGCACATTCAAAGCTAGCCTGATTCACATAGAGTTCAAGGCCACCAGGGCTATAAAAACCAAAATTAATTCAATTAAAGCAGTCACTGAGTACTGGAAAGTTGTTAGTGATGTTTCTTTACCAGGTTTTTGATAATAGTAATGTAAACTGTCCACAAACCACCATAACTGCGATAAACACAACTGCGATAAACCACTACAGTCTGCTGACTGCAAACCCCCTCTATGACGCATAACTGAAAGTAATTCAACAAACACTTGAACCTGTGGGATTTACATCGGGGCAAGCGGATCAGTCTCAGACTTGTCCTTACCATTCTGTTCATCCAGTTCATTCCCAATTTCCTGGCCCATTTGTTTTTGGCGACTAATGATGGAGGAAAGGGCATCCAAGCCTGCATCCTGCTCTGCAAGAAAAGGAAAAACAGCTGACTAAAAATCAAAGAGAAGCATTTTAAAGATAATATAAATATGCATATAAACATATGTAAATATTGATGCACACACATACATATAGCGGTACATCTATCCAGGCAAGTGATGCTATTCAACATATGATACAATTGACACAATGGCTAGCATTACTGAAACAAAAACCTAAATACTTCACACCTCACACTGAAATGACTTCCTGATAAATTAAATATCTAAATATGAAGCAAAATTATATTAAACTTGGCTACACCAACATTTAACTCTCTAGTATGTAATACAGACCTGTATAAATCAACAACAGAAGGGCAATGTTTTGATTTTTAAAATGGAGAAATAGAAACAAAACCTATACCAGGGAATTTTGAAAGTGAAATAAACATATAAACCCATTGGCATCATTAATTAAAATTTTGCATCTGTTTATAATTTGAGTGTGTGTGCACACACAGGTACACACATCTTGAAGCCAGAGGACAACTTGTGGAGTTGGTTCCCTCCTGCTACCACATGTGTCTCAGGGCTCAAACTCAGGTCATCATGTTTTGGCTGCAAGCACGTTTATTTAGTGAGCCATCTCGCCAGTCTGGCATCACTAATAGTTTAAAAATATAAATAAAACCCAATAATAAGATTCAGGGACTTACCGATTTGGAAATATGGAGAAGAATAAGGGTAGGCAAGGCTAACTGCAGTGTGAGGAAGCACAGCCCTGAGCACTGTGTAATAGGGAAGGTAAGTTCAACTTCCTGATAGGAATCCTTTTCAAGATTCCAATCCACCCAGTCCACTTAAGTGTAGAAAATGTGTATAGGAAAATATACAGCAAAGCAGTGACACATCTACATGGGTCTTCCCTAAAGCATGTCCCTCATGCTGGAAATAAACTCCCTCCCTCTGGATGAGTTTTTGACTACCCTAGAACTTTTTCTGGAGCCCTTAGCTGTTTTCTCCTCTGTAGCAGGTATAATATTTAATACTGATTATAAATTTGAGAGGATCAGAATCACCTAGAAGTCATGCCTCTGGACAAGCCCAGAAGAGATGATGTGGGAAAACTCACCCTAAAAGTGAACTAGGGTCCTAGACTGTGTAACAGGGGGAAGCTGGCTGCACATGAGCAAAATGTGGGTGACCAGTTCCTTCAAGGCCCTGCCACAGACTCTGCCCTTCAATGTACGTTTCTTCAAAGTGGTCCACCCTGGTGATGTCTCTGCAAGAGCCTTGTTCCTTTACCTCCTGGTGCCCCGAGCAGAGACGGTGGGGTGAGGTCTACACTTCACCAGAGCGTCATCTGCCAGTTGGTGGCGTGCCAGCCATAGCTTCACTTGTTTATGGTTTTTAAATGACTGTTTCACATAATGGCTTATCTATGAAAGCAAAACCACAAAGGGCTTCTCACTCAAGAGCTCACTAACGTCTACTTACAGTTTTGTGTAAATCTTTTGTATGGAGTTAGATCATCGTACTTAGCTCTGATTCACCTGGGATTTATTTAAACTTAAGGTGTGAGGCAAGGACCCCTTGGTGACACTTTTTTGACAAAACATACTTTTTAAAAACTATAAACAGCCTGTGGTGTCTAGGGACCATTCCAAGGCACCATTTTACAGCAAAATCACTTTATAATGAGGTCCTCTTGGTCCTTAGTAGCAGCCTCCTGGATGGCCTCCAAGATAAATCTATCATCAAGCTTGCACTGCTGAAGGATGTCTATGCTACAGCAAAAATCTAATGGCATCTGAAGAATAATCCATAGATGGACTGAGGGTCAGCACACTGTGAAGAAATGATGGAAAAATGGCTGAAAAATGGAAAGCAACTGCCGCTGGGGTTGTCTACTAGGAAAAGTCACTGAAGCCCTGACACTGTTTTATTCAGTGAGTGAAAAACATTGCACTAATCTTTTCTCCCAAATGTATTGTCTCCTAAAGGTCTCCCGAATGCACAACAGAAAAGAGACTAGAAACTCTCCCCTACTCCTATAATTCCCATGAGATGAGAACACCTCCTCAGCATATAATACTGTTAACAGTAAATTTGCATCCCACAATGTAGACATAGAAGATGCAGGGTAAGTCAAAATGATCGTGTCAAACACCTGAGCTTCTCTGAGCTATAAACTGACATTTCTAAGAGGCAATGGTTTGGCCACTTAGTAATAATCAAAATACAAGGCTGCTTCCAACAAAAATATCTTCTGGACGCACTGCAGATAACCTACTTACAAACAGTGAAAGTGTGACATTGTGACACTTCATTCTCCATAATATACTTTACTCTTTCACAGCATCCAAGACTAATGCCTTAGTAATGGTGTCACAATAGGTCATGTGCAACATATCAAACTCTGATTCATTCTCCAACTTTATAGTGATGTAGCTTTTAAGACGTGATCACTGTGGAAGAAAGAATAATGCATGTACACACACACATACACCCCAACACAGCCAATCTGTCCAAGTCCTAACTACTAGAACCTGTGACTAAGTTACTTTCTGTGAAAAGGCAACTTTGCAGATGTGGTGAAGATGAAGGTGTGAGATAGGAGATGAGTCTGGAAAACCTAGGTGGACCCAACACAATTCTTTTAGTTCTGAGAAACAGAGGTTGCCCAAATGCTGTCAGAGAGAGACATGACAGTGGGTTAAAGAGATGCAGTTGCTGGCTTTGAAGATGGAGCTATGAGCCAAGGAAAACGGGGACCTTCTAGCAGCCGGACAAGGCAAGGGAACAGATTCTGCTCTAGGGTCTTCAGAAAGGAATGTGGCCAGCTGACACCTTGATCTGAGTCCCTGGAGACCCAAGCTGAACTTCTGACCTTTAAACTATAGTAATGTGAGTTTTAAGTCACTACATGTGTGCTAATTTATTGCGGGAACACTAATACAATCATTTTTGAAAGTCCCCTTGGAACAATTAGGTGTGTAGATACTTCCTATATTTAGACATCCAGGAAAACCGTCCTCTAAATAACAATCACTCAACTGTGGGAGGACAGTTTGGTGGCAGTAGATAAAAAACAAAGGGACAGTCATTAGAACATATTATGCCAAAAATAACAAGCCTGGTTCTAAGTAAGCCACTAAATCTAACCAATTTACAGAAAATATCTAGGTCACAGAATATGCTCAACAACTTACAGGGATACACACTGCAAGAACTAGCTGAGGAAAAACTATAGAGCAAACAACCTGTTTAACAAAGAAACAGCAAGAGAAAAATAAAATAGTTTTAAAAGGTTCATTCATAGTATTAAGGCAGCTTAGAGATGCATCTACTAGTTACAAGGTATGGCCTACATTCAGACCCTCAGTCAGACAGTCTGGTTTTCTGATTGGACCAAGGAATTGTTCTAATTTGGCAAAAGTGAAAAACTGCATTGTAGCCCTTTTTCAAACAGTCCTGGGTATAGAGAGATGGCTCAGGGATTAAGAACACATACTGCTTTTCTGAGGATTTGAATTGAGTTCCCAGTACCCACACTGGACACTTACAATTACCTATAACTCCAGCAGATACAACACTTTCTTCTAGACTCTATGGGTACCCATAGTCACATGTGCACATAACCATACACAGACACATGCATATATACATAATTTAAAAAATAAACATATCTTTTAAAAAGGTCTTATATTTTATAAACATATTTTAGAGATGTTTAAATAGAACATTCTGAAGTAGTTACCACTGAAATAACATAATGTCTAGGGTTCACTTTAAAAATAATCCCAGAGCATGTGTATAAGGGTCAGAGTTCAGCCCACACAGCCACAGTAAAAGCTAGGCATGCTGTAGAATGTTATTTTAACTAGGCAAAGATGTGTTACATTTGTTTATGTTGCGGCGTGATACTTCAACTCTGTAAAGGTGTGTTACACTTGTTTCCGCTGCCTTCCTAAATGATGAAAAGATGGGTTGTTTATGCTGCATTTGTTTAATGGTATAAAGATGTGTTGCATCTGTTTCACCTTGCCTGCCTGAGGCACATGATTGGTCTAATAAAGAGCTGAATGGTCAATAGCTAGGCTGTGAAAGGATAAGTGGGGCTGGAAGGCAGAGAGACTAAATAGAAGAGAAATCTAGGCTAAGAGAGGAATGAGAGAAGAAGGAAGAGGAGAGAATGAGGGACATACCTGGAGCAAGAAGCCAAGCAGCTGCTAACTAGCTAGACACAAGAAGCAATGAAAGATATACCGAAGGGGAAAAAAAAGTAAAAAGCCCTGATGCAAAGGGTGGATAAAGAGAAACAGGTTAATATAAGTTAAAAAGGCTAGCCAGAACTGTGCCTAAGCTAAGCTTAGCATTCAAAGCTAATAAGAAGTCTGTGTCATGATTTGGGAGCTGGATGGTGGCCTAGAAGGAAAAACCTGGTACAGAGGTGGTGGCAGGTACTTATTATCCAAGCACTGAGGTAGCAGAGAAAGCCAGCCTAGGTAACTAACAGGCCTCAGGTCCCAGGGGAGGAAGGAGGAGGAGGAATGGACAATCCCTGAGGAACAGTCTCCAAAGTTGATCTTTAACCTACACATGTATGAAACACATGTGTATGTCATCACACGTCTATACACACATGCAATCCTGGAGGTAAGGACATACCGATAAAGCCAAACTAGCAATGGGGAGATAATTTCTGAAGCAGGATGAAGAAAAGAACATACCTTACTTTGCCATGTTTAAAATTCCCCACGGCAAAAAGGGGCATCAGTATATTAATGAGAAAGCAAGGAGGAGGCTTAGGATGTGACTCGGTTGTAGAACACTTGCCTAGGGGACAAGGCCCTGAGTTCAGTCCCCAGCACCATTTAACAAAAGCAAGCAGAGGAACCAGAGCTAAGCATGCTTCTCTGATCTGTGTGCATGACAAGGGCCTAAAGGTTGAGAATGTCTTCCTTTCTTTAGAGTTCAGCTGGTGGTAGAGATGCTCCATGTGTTAGCAGGAACTTACACCAGTACCCTTCACTGTTTAAAT